TGTCACAGGCGGTCATAAAAGTTGTGTGTAACATTGGCTGGGCTGAAAATGTCATATTAGCTGTTCTATGAGCCCTAATGCAGCCTGGTTAAAAGCCCTAGAATGAAACCACAGGTTTTCTTCCTTTTATGGTTTGATCGTGAATATTTAGATGAGCTGTGCTCTGATTGGTTGGTTTACAACGAGCCAAGCTGCTGAGCAAAGACGCATCATAGCAACAAGCACTCACTCACTGAAACATCAGATTGTTGATATGGTAGGGGGACCAGATGTCCTCTTTTTCCCCAACATGTCCTACTTTTCCTAAAAAATGTCCAGGGGGAATTTGAAAATCTTACGAGCCGTCAGCTCTTTGCTAGTCTAGTGGACGGGGGGACGGAGCCAGCAGGGGAGGGAGTGACCGAACCCGACCTGGCAATGGTAGCCTGGACAGCGGCGGCCCCGTGCTCTCGTCCCCCGGAAATTGTATGTCAATTTTGGGGCGTGACAAAAGTATAGAACAGAACCAAATAAGGCAACACCTCTGGGCTTCGTTTGGATTCTCCCGTTTTACGGTGGAAGTTTAGAATAGTGAGATTTGCAGAGAAAGGAGGGGTTGATGGGGTTTGATCTTCTCTGTACGTTCATTTCACCCACTGAACTATAATTTTTCATCCATGACAATGGAAACTCAGTTATGCATTCTGTGATCCCTTGGAATAAAACTAACTATATCTAGACAAGCCGAAGCAAAAAAATGAGATGAGGAACCTGCTTGAGGAGGCAGGCAGGAGTCCAGCATCCCTCTCAGTGCTGCATCAGCGCCGATCAGAGCAGCTTTGCGACGCGCCACGTCCGGAAAATCCACCTCGAACACCACGGCTCCGTCCAGAACTCCATCTGCATGGAGGCGGAAGTACAGAGAGTCGAATCCAGCGCCCAGAGACAGAACCTGCAGCAATAGGGGACAAGATAGCCAGACAGAGTCAGAATGAGGGCGGGGGGGCATCTCATCCACTGGGTCTGAGCTCAGCTTGCCTGTTTCTTGGGGCAATCCGCCGTGACATGAAGGAACCGCCTCACGCAGTGGTCCACAGCTTTCCAGCGAACATAATAGCCCCTAAAAGACAGAGAGATGGACTGAAGGTTTACTGATGTCAGAGGTCCAGCTGTGCGACACTCGGACCCCTCCTCACCTGTTGATCAGCGGCGCCCTTCGACCCACTTTACACACAAAGTGCTGGATAAAAGCGTCGCTGAAGTAGCCCTGAGCTGCAGCCGAAGCCTTGCTCACCACGCTGCTGTCGTTGGTTCCCTGCACCTGAGGAGGCAGATTAAACAACTTAGACTGAGACAAACCTTAGGTCATTTTGTCTACGGAGTGTAAGAAAAGTACAATTCATAAAACTCAATCTGAAAAACTGAAATCTGTAAATATAAGGTCGATTATAAAAATTTGATTTTTCAAATTTAGTATAAAGATAAATCTGAAAAAAAAAAGAAAGAACAGCAAAGATCCTATCAAACCATAATTATTATATTATTCAAAGTTTTATCTCTGGATTGCATATTTTCTTTTGTTTTCGCAAAAAAAAAAAAAAAAAATCACTTCATATCTATTAATATTAATTATTGTAAAAAAAAATAGTAGCAAAAGAAATATTTTACTTTAAAAACTATCAGCATAGATGTGTAATTAATAAAATATAATATTATAGTAATCTATTATAATATATTATTATAATAGATTACTATTCAGATTTAAAATGAAAAAGATTAAATTCCAGAAGCTGATGAAGGTCATGTGATCTTTATCTGCACTGATTACGTTTATTGTTGTTTTTCAAGTAACCCCAATAATTTTATAAACAGTCAGAATAATTGAATAATACAGCAAATCTGACATAATAAGCCAGTTATTAAATCAATTATCCAGATTACAAAAATTTAAATATAATTAAATCATAAATGTACTTTTTTTAATTTCTGATTCCTTTTTGCACGTATGTAAACATTTATTTAATATTTCTATATATTCCTCTCTTTATTTATGGGGAGAACAAACAACATCAAATCAAAGAGTTTTTTTTCATTATTTTACCATTAACTGCTTTTCTGGACACATAAATAACAAAAAGAACATTTTATATTATTCTAGTTTTAGCAGAAATTATGCAGCAAAAATGTTATTGTTCCTTTTAATTATTGGATAATATAGAGAAGAAGATTAGGGCCACTGAAAAGTGTATTATTTCAAAAATATTATTTTAATTTAATATGGGTAAAAAAGGCAGAATTCTGACTTTAATCTCAGAATTCTGACTCTTTTCCCATATTAAACTGAAATAAAGTTTATGAATCAGTTATCTTTTCTTTTTTTTT